ACCGTAGGTCCTGGATCTCAAACCACTGCAGGTCCTGCTTCTCAAACAACTGCAGGTCCTGGTCCTCAAACCACAGCAAGTCCTGGATCTCAAACCACTGCGAGTCCCGGTTCTCACACCACCGTACGTCCTGGTCCTCAAACTACCGCAAGTCCTGGATCTCAAACCACTGCGAGTCCCGGTTCTCACACCACCATACGTCCTAGTTCTCAAACAACTGCAGGTTCTGTTTCTCAAACCACTGGAGGTCCTGGTTCTCAAACAACAGCACGTCCTAGTTCTCAAACTACCGCAAGTCCTGGATCTCAAACCACTGCGGGTCCTGGTTCTCAAACCACCGTACTTTCTGGTTCTCAAACAACTGCATCTCCTGGTTCTGAAACTACCGCAGGTTCTAGTTCTCAAACTACTACAGGTCTTGGTTCTCAAACAACTGCAGGTCCTGGTTCTCAAACTACCGCAAGTCCTGGATCTGAAACCACTGCGGGTCCTTGTTCTCAAACCACCGCACGTCCTGGTTCTCAAAATACTGCAGGTCCTGCTTCTCAAGCTACCGCAGCTTCTGTTTCTCAAACTACCGCAGGTCCTGGTTCTCAAACTACTGCGGGTCCTGGTTCTCAAACAACTGCAGGTCCTGGTTCTCAAACTACTGCGGTTCCTGGATCTCAAACCACTGCGGGTCCTGGTTCTCAAACAACTGCAGGTCCTGGTTCTCAAACAACCGCAGGTCCTGGTTCTCAAACTACCGCAAGTCCTGGATCTCAAACCACTGCGGGTCCTGGTTCTCAAACCACCGTACGTCCTGATTCTCAAACAACTGCAGGTCCTGGTTCTCAAACCACCGCAGGTCCTGGTTCTCAAACCACCGCAGGTCCTGGATCTCAAACCACTGCGGGTCCTGGTTCTCAAACTACCGCAAGTCCTGTGTCTCAAACCACTGCGGGTCCTGGTTCTCAATCCACCGTACGTCCTGGTTCTCAAATAACTGCAGGTCCTGCTTCTCAAACCACTGCACCTCCTGCTTCTCAAACTACCGCAGGTCCTGGATCTCAAACTACTGCAGCTCCTGCTTCTCAAACTACCGCAAGTCCTGTGTCTCAAACCACTGCGGGTCCTAGTTCTCAA